TTTTCACAACTATTATCATAACCCATATTGCTGTAGTTCTTATCGTTGATATAGTCACAAATATAATAGTATTATTCTATCATCATAATCATTCCTATTATCATCATTATCATTATAACTATCATTATCATAATCATTCCCTCGTCAAGCAGGTTATGTTTTTGGTAGCGTTTGTTAGTTAATCTTTTATGTTTGTTGGTTAGTAGGATAACTTAGAAAGTTTAGAACAATATTTTAATGATTTTCTTTACCACAGGATGATCACTATTATTCCTATCATTGGTATGTGATAATTTTCATCATCATCATCAACATCATTTTGTTATTCTCATTATTACTATTATAATTATCATTATCATGACCATTATCATTATCATTATAATTATTATTATTATCATTATCATTGTTATCATTATTGTTATCATTGTCGTTATTTTTGTTATTGGTATCATTATTACTACCATTATTGTTTTAATCATCATTATAATCATTATGATTGTTGTTATTATTATTTTCTTTATAATTATTATTATTATCTTTATCATTCTTAATTTCCTTCCATTGTTTTATTGCACATCACCATCACCATCATCTTGTTATTATCATTACTACTATCATCATCATTATCGTGGCCATTATCATGATCAGGATCGTTATTTCAATCATTATTTATTATTATATTATTATTATTATTATTATTATTATTTATTATTATTATTATTATTATTTATTATTATTATTATCATTATTATTATTATCATTATCATTATCATTATCATTATTTATCATATTATTATCATTATTATTATTATTATCAATTATTTATATTATTATCATTATTATATCATTATCATCATTATCATTATCATTTCATTATCATTATCCATTTTCATTATCATTATCATTATTTTATCATTATCATTATTATTATTATTATTATTATTATTATTATTATTATTATTTATTATTATTATTTATTATTATTATTTATCATTATATTATATTGTTGTTATTGGTATCATTATATCATTATTATTGTTATTATTAATCTTATTTTTATGAATAATAATTATCATTACTATCATTGTCATTTTTTATTGTTATTATCATATTATTTTCATTTTTGTTGTCATTATTGTTATTGTTATCATTATTAATACAGTTATCATTATCATTATTATTATCATAGTTATTATAGTTATTATTATCATTATGATTATTATTATTATTATTATTATTATTATTATTATTATTATTATTATTATTTATTATTATTATTATTATTATTATTATATTATTATTATTATATTTATTATATTTTATTATATATTATTATTATTATTATTATTATTATTATTATTATCATTATTATTATTATTATATTATTTATCATTATCATTATCATTATTTATTTATTATATATTATTATCATATTATTATTATTATTATTATATTATTATTATTATTATTATTATTATTATTATTATTATTATTATTATTATTATTATTATTATTATTATTATTATTATTATTATTATTATTATTATTATCATTATTTATTATTATTATTATTATTATTATTATTATTATTATTATTATTATTATTATTATTATTATTATATTATTATTATTATTATCATTTTCATTGATTTATATATTATCAATCCTTTTCATCATCAAAACTTATATTATCATCATTATCATTTCATTATTATCATTTATTATTATCATTATTACCATCACTCTCATACAGTATTATAATGACGATGATGATAACAATGATAGTAATAGTAATAATAATAAGGGTGATAATAATGACAGTAATAATGATAGTAATAATGATGATAATGATAATATCATCATAATTGTTCCTGTTGTTATTGTTATCAATATTTTTATGTTGTTATTATTGCCACTGTCATTATTATTATTGTTATTATTATCATGATTAACTTTATTATTTTTATCATTATTGTTGTACTCCTTATCATCCTTTTCAATATTATCATTATACTACTTGTACTACAACTGATGATAATGAATATTATTTTTATGGAAATATTACTATTATCATTATCAGTTATTGTTATCATCACCATTATTTTCATTGTTACTATTACTATTTAATTATTATCATCATTCCCATTATTTTAATAAATAATGATTGCTCTTATTTTTGTTGTTATTAATACTTTCATTATCAATACGATTATCATTATCATCATTATCAACTTCATATTTAATATCAACATCATTATTATCATGATCAGAAACATAGATGTGATTTTTATGCAATGTATCTACCTGAGTAAAAAGGTAAAATCTAATGCAACAAAAAAGTACCAATAAATCTATCATTGCAAACATTTCGTTATCAATATGTATCTATCTATTTGTATTTTTTTTTTCAGGGATATTTTATTTACTTATCTATTTTTTTTTTTAATATTTGTTGCATGTCTCACTTCTTTTTATAAAATACCATCTTTTTTTTCGTCACATCATGGCAGAAGAATTTACAAGACGATGGAAAGAGGATAAGGAAAACACAGCAATTATGCACTAAGTATATAAAAATTTATTAAAATTACAAAGCAGAATGATCAACAATGATAATATTGATAATGCGTTGCTTATTTAATAAGCACGAGAGGAGGACAGTAAATCCAAAGCTGAAAGAGGACCTCCCACAACCTCAGCCATCCACGGGGGTCACGGGGGGTCACGGGGGGTCACGGGGGGTCACCCTCATGGTACAAAAAGGACTTTCTCTTCGTATGAATTCTTCCTTTTATTTCCCCCTTTTTTCATTCGTGTTCAAACGCCCTTCGCGAACAGAAGGAAAGGGCTTCGATAAGACTTCATCTACATCATAAAATTGGACTATATATTTTTATTTCTTCTTTTTCCCCTTTTCCCTCCCAATCCCTCCCCGTCTCTATCTATAAGGCTTTGTTTTCGATAGCTAATGGGTAATGGGTATGTCTGTATATCCCTCTCTGCGTTTTGCTGGATGTGGTTTGCCCAACTTGTGCAAGAATCCCCTTTCAAAACACCGGCAGAGCGGTAATATCCTCGGAATATATACGTATTTTATTTGTTTTTTTTTTTTCTTTACTTTTACTACTAATATTTCCGTTTTTATTTTCATTTACGGAAGTATGGCATTTCGTAGTAGTAGATGCAGAAAAGGTATACAAAAGCAAAAAAATATCATCTGCATGTTACAAAAATGAGAAAAAAAGACGAAAAAGACAAAAAAAAAGACAAAAATCCCATCGCGCCTGATATCCAAAAAAAAAGAAAAAAAAGAAAAAAAAGGAAAAAAAGTAAAAAAAAAAAAAAAAAAAAAAACTTTCGGGGGAACAACCTGTCAAGTCAAAAGAGCTTAGAGCTCAGGACTTCGCAGAGGAACCTTGCAGTTTCTCCCTTGGCTGCGGTGCCCCTTGCCTCTTCCTCCTTCCGGATGCTGAGGTGCTGATGTCAGGATAGTTAAAGGATGTCAAATTCGTTGTTCCTGGGTCGTTTTTTTTGTTTTTTTTTTTTGTTTCTTGTTTAATTACTCTCATTTTCCTTCGTCTTTTTCTATTTTATTTTTGGTTTGGAGCCGTTTGCCTTTGTTTGCTGAATCGAATTGGCTTTAGATATTAATAATTCTTTATTTATTTATCGTTTTTTTGAATTTTGAATTTTTATTTCATCTCCTTTCGCTATTCTAAAAGATCTCAAAAAACTAAATCATGAAATACGAGAAGCCATTAATTTTGACGATCATTTTGATGCGGAAATAAAATTCATCCATTTAAATGTTTACTTTCACCATCGCGTTAGGGTAAGAAACAAACAAACAAGCAAATGAAATGAACACGAGTAAACAAAATAGAATGATGAAATGAAATAATAAAAGGTAAATGAAAATAAAAATAAATAAAAACGATGCTACAAAAATAAGACATCAATTTATAGAAAAAAAGAGAGAGAAAAACTGAAAAAATATTTACCGGACCTACACAAAACAAACAAACAAACAAAACAAGTATGGATGATTTTCTGGTTTTCTTTTAATATTTTCCCCTAAGAATGCACGCACACTCGCATCTGAATTATAAACAGGGACTTTGACTTTCAAATTCGTAAATAAATAAGTAAAAGATAAAAATAAAAAAAAAATAAAAATAAATAAAAATAAAAAGAGACAGGTAAGGATATAGGCAATTACCAAGAATAAAAAAAGTGCAAATATAATCGTTAGTTTCAATAATAAAAAAAATACACAAAAAGGTAAATAATAAAAAAAGTAAAAAAAAAAAAAAAAAAGAAAAAAAAATAAATAAGTAAAAAAAAAAAAAAAAAAGACCGAGAGATATTAATGGAGGGGATTAAGACTCGGGTCCCACTATCGCAATAAGAATTCGTTATAAACAGTTCCCTTTATAAGGCTTCGGTTATAGGTTGCATAATGCGGGCGGGTAAATGTAAGCGAATTGGCTATTATAGGTTGTCGTCCTGGTTGTTATTCATTTATTTATTTATTTATTTTGAAGATGTGGCGGTCCAAGCTAAATCGAGTGTGTCTGTAAAACACACAGACGCAGACACGAACATACATGCACACAGACACGCACAGACATACTAAAAGACACACATGCAGACAGACAAACACACACACACACACACACACACACACACACACACACACACACACACACACACACACACACACACACACACATACAGACACAGACACGCCAAAATGCACGACGAAAAGGACGCTTCATTAGACGCTCAGCTCGACATACCTATAGGACGGATTTAAAAATTGACCTATCACTGTTGCCATATCTCATATTTGATTACAGTCACTTGCTGAAAATTACAGTGAAATACAGTTTTACAGCGACACAATACGTATCATATATATTTTTTTCTTCATACGAGCTTCAGCAGTGACAAGCTCATCTATAATAGTTCACACAGTTAGGTAAAAAACAGACTGTTGGTGACTTTAACACGACTTTTAACTGCGTCGAATCTCAGTATAATGGTTATATCATGAAACTGGAGGGAGAAATTGGAATATATTCTCAACTGCGGCAATTATATCTATGGCATACACTCTACCAGTCACGGCTCATGCATCAGTACGCAACCTCTTATCATTTTCACAAGTATATGTATATATATATATATATATTTATATGTATATTTATATATTTATTTTTTCTCGTTAACAATGGAGAGCGTCTGGAAACCTATAGACCCTCGAGGTGCGTTCAAAAAAGCTTAATACAATAATATAAATCTTCTTTCAGAATGAAGGATATCACACACCTCTGTCCATGCTTACATCTGGCAGCGCTGCAAGAAGGTGACGTCACTATTAAAGGTGACGTCACAACTGATCATATCTATGACGTCATGGTTCCAACAATGACAAGTGCAATAACCTGGAGAAAAATGCGCTGTCAATGCGAAAAGATGGACGGAGGGTGGATCTGGTGTGTGAAAGCCAATTAGTAGATCATTGCATAATGACAATCGTGTAACCATAATACAAGTGGAATATATAAATACAATTCAGTAGACATTATATAAAAGACAGAATCACCTGTAGCAGTTTTACGTTAACTTTAACGGGTTGGTTCATTCAAGTTCCCTCTCACTGCATACAAAATAAACAATAGCACCTATTTGAAACGTTACCTACAGTATTTAAAAAAAAGGATCATATATTTTTTTCCGGAAAAGAATCGCCAGGTTTACACTCTGTCGCTAGATATGTACAATACATTAAAAAGATTCAGTGTCATATTTTTGCCTGTTTACGCATCGGCAACTCGGGCAACACATCAAATCTGTGGCTGTTTTACTTCGCAAAGGAAAGCTATCACGTTCCAGCAAAAAGAAAACGAATTATTCGAAATATAACATGTAAACTGTTTTATTTATATATAATCACTGTACGCTATAATTTCCGTTGTGTCTATGGTATGAAATGAGGGAAAGTAAAACAAATTCTGAAACAGTTTCAATAACCATTAAAACTAACCATCCTAACAAACATTGCCACAAGCAAATCTTATGTTGAGAATATTTACACACTAGAATTAATATAACAATTCTTTGATAAAAATAAGAAAATCACGGTCTTCATCACTCCTTGTTCTCGTCCAAAAACATGATCTATTCCGAGTTTATTTCCTTTTTTTTGTATATTCATAGTTGTCCCGTTTCTCGTCCTTGAACCAGACATCAAAAAATGTCTCTACAATATTATTGTCTATGCTCGAAAACTCGTTCCCGTTTTCTCCCATCCCTCATATCCAGTCCCATTTTCTTCCCGGGGTAACTCTTCTAAAATGCACGGGCTCGCAGACGGAGCCGTGTCCAATTCCACCCGTGTGTGATAAGCTCGGCAGACAGAATGCCAAAGGCGCCCCGTTCTTCCTCCCTACGTTCGTCCTGCCACAGCGACGTCGCGTGCTCCCTCCCCAGGCACGGAGAGCTGGCGTCCTTCCCCTCCAGATGGTCTCCCGATGAATGAATCTGTCGGGGAGAGTGGGGGGCGTGAGTAAAAAATAAGGGGAAAGCGAACACATTTTGACTTCACGAATATTTACGTCATTAAAGACATTTTTGTCCCAGTGCATCTTGTGATTAATCAATAAGTAACAACAACAACAACGGCAAAAAGTCTTACACAATGAAAAATAAGGATTTCAGCATATGTATAATGTACTTTTTTTTTTAATCACTCATAGCCTTATTCTGCGAAGAACGTACTTGCTATTCAGTGCTGAGGCTTATGAGAGAGAAAATCAGATGATGATCAGATGCATATCCAAGGAAAAAAAGTAATTCACACGAGTGTCCTTTTTTTTTTTTTTTTTTTTTTTTTGAGAAGAAAGTTCATGAACCATAGTCGTCAGAAGCGCCTCGTGACATTGAAGGTCGTCCGTGGGCATCACGTGACACGCACACCTACTCAGCGCTTAATCGGAACGTTCATGAACATTGTTCGTACGTGTTACCATTAGTGCGGGTTTTCTTAGCTTTGTTGGAGATTATTGTTGGGAATAGTTCTGAAGGCAGGACGGTAGGGGGGGTTGGGGAGCACTGACCCCCCGCCCTGGAGCGGACCACTGCAGAGGGAGAGAACATGTATTAGGGCACAGAGAAGAACATTCTGCGTAGAACAGGTGGCGAAGAAACACTGGATGATCAGGAAACAACAAACAATCAAACAAGCAAACGTAAAGAGGAGAAAAGTTAAGAAAAGAAAACCTCTTTTTTTCTTTTTTTTTGTTTTGTTCAAAGTCCAAAGAAATGAAAGAAACAAAAATAGAAGTTTATGACACACTCCACAGATGGAAACGAGAAGGGACAGTGGTTATAATTTCGACTGCGTTAGGCGCATGGCGTTGCAGAGAGAGTGATTCAAGATAATGTCATAACAGCTTAAAGACAATGAAAAGGGAAGAAAAATCCATCAACTGAGAGGATATGAATGACAGGACAGTTGAAGACAGTCAAATGGGATGCCTCTTCTGTAGCAACGAAATGATAACTTCTTGAAAAATGAAATATAGAATAATGGTCCAAAGACTTACCATGGCAACTCAGATCAAATAATAAAAACGGAAAATGTTAACATAAACGAGAAAAAAAGGAATGTAAAAAAAAAACGTGGGTGGGGGGGGGTCAATTCTTGAATTTTCTTTAATAAAAGATTGTTTGCTTTGTTCGCCAAACATTCGACCTATTAAAACACAAAGACTAAAAAATTAACAATACTGAGTTACAAAGATATGAAATTCTATATATTTACTTAATGCAAGCGAAAGGAACTGCTACTATTCATCTCAAACTTTCTAAAACTGAGGTAAGAAAATGACTGAATCATTATGAAAAATGCTAACACACAATGGCGCAATACCATATAACGAGTCTATGCTCTTATTCTCATGACTGTACAAAATCCTATTAGATCTAAAATGACAAGTAAAGACTATTGTCAAAATTGCATGCAGAGAAGCAGCCATTTT